ACGAGAAATGTCACAATATCACACACAATCGAAAAACATAGACATTGAGTTAGCAGGCAGTGATTATAAAAGCTAAGACAGTCAGAACAAAGAATTAAGAACTAAAGGACAGAGCCTAGGCTGAGGAAATGCACGCTAACAAGATCAAATATATCAAAACTGCCTCAGGAGGTCAGTACAGGGCATCAAGAGCAAATCAGATTTGATAGGCATTACTGAGCACCAACAAACTAGGACCACGAAACACTGAAGCCCATCGGGTACACAGTCGATAAAGATAGTCCAACACATAGTCTTAGAAATCATTAAGAAGAGTTCAAACAAAGAATCAGCAGAATCACTACCAAGACAAGTAGAAGTCACCAGATAGAATCCATATCACGAAATCTACAAGAACATTCACAGAGCCAAGCAACTAGAAGACACAATACGGTTAAGGCCTCTGAGTTATACAAAAAGAGAGCCAAATAATCAGTACATTCATTGGGGCTTTCGGTATTCACAAAGGGGCAAAAGAGATTGACTATCAGGAAACCAATAAATCAATTGGGAACGGAAATCAATTGGGAACCAAAATCAATTGGAAATCTTGAAGTACACAGGGGTAGTGCAGCGTACACAAACAACCCACGATATACGCATTCTTCCTGGAGAAATACAGGGCATAACTAACTTCAGCAGAGCAAGACTTGTATTTTCATATATCAATCAGCAGAGTAAGACTTGTATTTTCACATAGCAAGAAACATCAGAAAAAGGTCAATTCACCACAACGATTACCAACCTTAATATAAACATATAACAAACAAGTCGGTGGATATACATACAATCCTCACGCACAAACAAGTTTGAAGGACAAAGGTAACACACCTGTATATATGAATCCTATAATCCCATAAGGATAAGGCTCCAAACGAAATGTACTTGCAACGATAGAAATGGGAATCACAGCCAGCAATCAAGATAGAAGTTAAGTGATTATAAATATCACATTCATAAGGACATAAACTACAATAGAATATATGGGAAAGTTACAAACATAACCATACACAAACAACCGGATCAAGTAGAACCAATACTAAGAAGATCGAGACAGATTGATGCACATGAATCACATGTCACACAGCAAATGGATTCCACAAGTTATATATAATCAATATATACACAAAGAACCAGTAAGTGGTATATACAATCATTACATACACACGAGACATAGTCTACGAACGAGGCAAATAACGCACATAACAGCGGTGGCACACATCACACACACAACACAGATAACAATAGTAAAAGAGGCGTGAAGCCATCAAATCTCGATGGAAGGCATATTATTCAGACGTGTTGAGCTCTCATACATTGCTAAACAGTAAAAGAAGGTGCACCAACGCGAATATACATCCTGATGTTCATTGCAACCTACCAGGCTCCACAGTCACGGTACCTGCAGATGAAATCAACGTCAGACAATTGAGGCACGCTAAAGTCAACTTTGTTCCGCACAAATACATTCCGCAAACGGATGAGAATTTGCAACGATGGCTTAAAGATGGCCACATATACAAATGCGACAAGCCCACAACGGTGAACCTACCGTTGTTATCAACAGGTGAACATGACCAAACAGGTCTCTTCAAGAAAGTAAGGACATGTCTAGACTTATGTGAGATCAATTATCAATATAAACAGGACCAATTTGTGTTACCAAAAATAAAGGTGTTACACAACCAACAAGGAGCACAGTTCTTTTCAAAGCTAAATATTACAGGAGGATTTCATTACTTCCTAGTAGACGAAGCAAGCCAACACTTCTTCACATTCTCGTGGAGAGGAGAGCAATACTCATTCAAGTCCGCGCCGTTTGGACTACACTCACTCACAGCAATATTCCAGAGAGTCATGGCGAATCTGCTCATAGATATCAAAGGAGTGTAAGTGTAAGTAGATGACATGGTCATTGCGAGTCTTACAGAAGAAGAACACCGCAAAACAGTCCGTGAAGTAATCAAGCGACTGAATAGCGCAAACTTCCGACTCAATCACAACAAGTGTGCCTTTGCGGCCAAAGTGGTCAACATTCTTGGGGTGAAAGTCACCACACATGGACTCAAAACAGACCCTGAGAAACAGAAAAGAATGATGGATTGGCCACTACCCAGAACAAAAAGAGATCGGCACAAAGCAGTGGGACTAGCAAACTACATGCGAGACCATGTCCCCAACTTTGCTTATACAAGAAACACTTTCGGAACCTAATGAAGGGAAAAATGAACCAGAACATATCCATGTTATGGACTCCGGAACTAATCAAGAAGTGGGAAGAACTCAAAGAAGCCATCGCCTGTTCAGCGACGCTAGCAAAAACGTTCCACCACCATTTCTCCATCATACATGTCCCAGGCAAGGACAACCAGATGGCAGATATGTTGTCACCTCTCCATGACGATACTTTTAGTACTAAAGAGTCAAAGGTATTACAAAAGACGAATGAGGCAACACATCAAGAGTACACCACCTTGGAAACGAAGATGCCCATAACCATTTCGGCTATAGACTGGATGTTGTATCCCAGATTCTATCAAGAAGCGGAGCGAAGGTTTGGGAAGTTCACAGTAAATCTGTTTGCATCGGCACACAATGCGCACACATATAAATACTACACCAAAGAACAGAATGCGCTACAACAAAAGTGGGCGCAGGAAGTTAAAGTATGGGCGAATCCACCATGGGAACTCATACCTGATGTCCTTGACAAAGTCATTGAAAAGGCAACCAGCGTCACGATATGTGTACCATATTACCCCAATGCCTCGTGGTTTCCAAAGTTCGTGTCTTTACTAGAAGAAGAACCGATGCTAGTGGAAAACACAAACAATACTTTCCTCAAAGAGGGCAAGAAGGCTTGCGGCAAGATCCCATGGAGTGTCACTTTGGTCGCAAAGATAGGAGCCAAGTCTCCATACTTCGATCCAACGCGGGAACAACCTGCTATACTTGCAGCGTCAGAACCAGTTCACTCTGGAGCCGCATCACAGGCAACAGAATATGAGACACATGTCAACATCATTGAGCAATACCACAACTTGGGACATTACACTCCTGAGGAAACAGTACACAAGTTGCAAACAGATGGACATGATTGGGCTGATATCCAACAACATGTACAAAAGTTCATTGACGGATGTATACCATGTTTCAAAAATAAAATACACAAAAAGGGATTTCACCCCATACAATCAATTAGCCGCATGTCCAAGCGACAGAGTCCAAGTGGACACCATAGGGCCACTATTGAATTCCAACAGTGGACACACATACGTGCTAGTATATCTTGACGTATATTCATCGTACGTCATTTTGCGTCCAATGATGGACAAATCAGCGGCTACCATTGCACGCACAGTGGTACCAACTATGTGTGAACATGGATTTCCACAAATCATACAAACGGACCAAGGCACTGAATATGTTAACAAAATACTCTCAAAAGTTGTTGAACAAGCGCCAATGCAACACCTAGTCTCTCGGCCGTATCAACGTAAAATCTTAGGCGCGAACGAACGATCACTTAGAGACCTTATGCCACTGTTACGGAAATTTGTTGAACAGAATCCAGATAATTGGTGTTCACGACTTCCATTCATACAGATGGGCCATAATCTGCGTACATCCAGAAGACACAAGTCTCCGCGTTTTAATGCATACTTTGGTCGCAGACAGAATCAACTCACGGACTACAATAAGTCAGTGACCGCACCCAGTACAACAGTATCTTGGAAAGAGCGACTGCAAAATCTAGAAGAAACCATTAGTCCACAACTAGAGAGCAATATTGCACAGTATCAAGAGAAGGTGCGAGCAGCATACGATCGAAAATACTAACAGAAGTATGTAAACATCTAGGGAGGGGACCTTGTCATGGTCCACTAACAAGGTGAAACGAACAGGTTAACAGCACCAAATGGCGGACCATACAAAATAGTATGCAGGGAGGGCAACGGGTATTTTGTCGGTAACCTTGATGGGACTAAAGCCCCCAAATATCCTGACTCGATCAGTGATGAGCTACTTGGCCTCGTAAAAAGGGCAAATGCCCCGGAAGCATTTACTTCCAACAATCACGTGCAACCAAACGAAGAGACTCAGTTCTCATCGATAGTCGACGACAGGCCGTCCATCCGAGGTGATGGATCCCAGGAGTACCTACTGCAATGGGTTTCTGGTCTTCCAAGTTCAGTGCTGCGCAGCTCAACTACCACATTACGGACAAGGAAGCCTTGGCTATTGTGTACGTGTTGCACAAGGCTTGGCGGATTGTTAGGCGGTCGGTGCATGACTTGGTTGTCTATACCGATCATGTGCCGTTAGTGGCTATGATGCAGAAGAAGCCGCACGAGTTTGAAGATTTAGTGCGGGGCAGGCGTATGGGTTGGTATGTTCAGGTCTTGCGGGACTTTAACTTGGGTTTGAAGTATATTCCAGGCGAAGATACTCCGGTGGCGGACGTGATGTCTGATCCGATTATGCAGGTGGAGTCTCCGTTGATCAAGAAGCGTGTGAGTTTTGCAGATCCCTTGGCTAGGGTGCCTGACACGGAAGAGTATTTGTTGGCACTCAAGTATTTTGACAAGGCGTTGCAGCGGGTTGGTCCCTTTGATGCTGAAGGGTTTGCGTTGCCAGGCAATAACTCGATGGTGCCGTATTTACTCGCCCACTTTATAAGGTGGGGTGTTGGCCTTGGACACTTGGTTTGGGTGGAGTTGGTATATGAATGCTCCGTTCTCCAAGTTGGATGCTGTTGTCCAGCGAGGCAAGTCGGATGGGGCCACTGCGACACTGGCAGTGCCGTATTATCCGGAGGTTGCTTGGTTTAAGCAGATGGTACCTTTGATACGGCGATTGTTTGCCTGCGTATGGGGTGTTCTTGAAGCATGGGCGTGAACCGATGCCGCCGCCACCGTTTGTGACGTTGATTTGTCATCTTAGTGCTCGTTGTGAGAAGTTCACTTTGGCCGAGGGTTTTGGGCGGCGGTGGATGCGCATCGGCCTGTGACCAGTGCTTTGGTGGGAACATTGACGACGCGACCGGATGATTTGAAGTTCTGTATGGTGCAGGATCGGCTGGCTCCAACATTGGCTGGTGTGGTTGAGAAGCCTGTTCGTTGGGGGCGTGATCCCAGGCTGGGGAGATTTGCCTTAAAGCCAGTTGAGCATGTGGTTGGGTCATGTACATTCATGACAACCACTGTCATGCCTGGGGAGTTGGTATTGGAGGAGTCCGTGAATCGCGCTGAGCGCGAGTATGGAGGCGCATTTGGCGTGGACGGTGGCTGTTGTGGTCAGATATACGATATCAGGTTTTTAGGGTTTTTGTGGTTAGATATACGATTTTGGGTTATTAAGGTTTATTTGTGGATCGGTTATAAACTTGACCAGATGTTAATCGAGTAATGTTCAATAAATAGCCAACGACTCACCTCTGATGAGGGGAGTACGTTGAGATATAGTTATTGACGCGTATTTACCACATTTTTAACTAGCTGATAGAGTTTGGTTATGAATTGAATATTGCTTGAAAATTCTCCTATTAAGTGGATTCGAACAGAAGAGATGCAAGAGGGTACTAGATGCATTGGCCGCAAGAGATGAAGAAAGGTGGCCCAATTGGTGCGCACGCTAAGGTGATATGACCCCTTGTTGACTACGCATGATTTGATACACAGAGGTGTTGTTTGTTTTCGTCGTGGTGATCATAGTATGTTGTGCACTGGCCCCAAAACACCGTTTTAGAAATTGTGAATAGCATAGCCTGGCTTGACCTTACATTGCTCGTGATAAAATATACATATATAATAGTATAAACACAAACGTATATGCAGACCTATATTTATGTAATAAAAATTATTACATGT